GAGTGGTTCTTGGGCTTCTCATCAAGTGACCGCTTTCCAAATTATGGCTGCCTCCTAGTCTTCTGTTCACATGTTGCATGTTTTCCTATGCAAGATGGATGCTTTTGGTCTCATCCAATGCCAGCTTCAGGCTTAAGATCTTTCAGGTCGCTCTTTGAGCTAAGGCAGTCCCAATTTTTTTTTTTTTTTTTTTTTTTTTTTTTTTTTTTTTTTTTTTTTTGACTGGTTAGTGGTTTGCTGCATGATTCACCCCTCAGTTTGACTGCTTTTGGACCTCCAGAAGGCTAAAGTCTTCCTGTGCCCCTCAATAGACCAAAGAAAAAAAGACTTTAGTACTCCTCCATAAAATCCTTCTCTTGCAGTCCATTAAGTGACACAGTTCAACTCCTCCTGTGTTAATGATCATGCTCTCTGGTGTAGTGCTTTACTGCAAAACTGAGACCTACTGGTGGTAGGAGAGGGTATCCTGGGCTTGGCCTATAGTTTCCCTCCTGTATGCAGCAGCATAACCGGAGAATTTTAAGAATTCTTGTGTTCCCTCCTGAGACATGGATCTTACGAGATGTACCAATTTATTTATTTTTTTTCTTTTCTGGACTATGAGTCCTTGGATATGGTGGCTGCCTTTTTTTTTTTCTTTCGGTTTTTTTTTTACCTTTTTATTTCACCTAGCAATCTTGCCTATAATACTCGTTCTAAGGTGACTGTTCTCTCAACTTGCTTTGCCATTGAGCAGCAACCATTGTTGTCCTAGGAGTGGGAAAGAGGGGAATGGACTAGGGCAGTGGTGATATTACTGCTTGAGATCCCCCTTCCAGTGAGGAAGCTTTAGATTTAATACTGTAGCAAAAATATGAACGGGCAGGCATTTAAAATGAGATTCCAATTCCTCCAAGGTAAATGCTACAATCGATTTGAAATATGTGCTTACTTTAAAATTTTTACCTTCTCCTTTTACAGTAATGGAAATTCTAACATGTATCTCTTCTAAATCAAAGTAATCCACTGCTGAAAAATATTTACCAAAAAAACTTGAAGCTAAAATACAAATGCCAATAAATTGACACTAAAAATGTATGTGTACAACACAACTGATTAAAGATACTGGTCTGGAGGAACCTCATAAAATCATGGAGGAGTTGCAGTATTTTTATACAACATGAAGTTCATTTTCTGGTTAAACATGTCGACTGGATTTTTTTTGTCTATGATCAGATCATTTCCAGTGATTTCAGATATAAGTGCTATCGGAATTGGAGGACATGCTACAGCTTTTTGTATTATGGCTGGTGTTCATGGCACTGCCAGTCCTATGAGTTGATTTTTTATTTCTATTTTAAAAACAGAACTTCACACTTTGCATAATTACTGCTTATACAGGCTCTTGGTGTGGTGTGTGTTTTTTTTTTTTTTTTTTTTTTAATTGGTGGTCAGCTGACTGATGAGCTCCTGGTGTTCTGTGTGGAGGGCCAGTAACAGGGCTAAATTTCAAAGCAGTTATGTCACCGAGCCACGTCTACTGCTCCAGTTGTTGGATGGGGGTGAGAGTTACTGCACCCAAAGTAGCTGGGGATCGAAGCATTGCATTCATGTGACTGCATAGAAAATATTGAAAAGGATATTTACATTGAGGTTTGTGTATGCAAGGCCATGGGGGGGGGGGGGGGGCATTTGAAATGTTGCTTTAAGAAGTACAGCCAATGCTCTTTGGGATGTACTTCTCCTGTGGATCACAGGAGTGCAGTTTATTCTGTACTTCTGTGGCCTGTTTTCTGCTGACAGCGGGCTGCAGCCCGCCAAAGTCACTCAGCTGGTCCAGGCTGGGTAAAGATCCCAACGTAAAAGTCAAGACCCACTCCAGAGACTGGAGTGGCACCTTTGCGATCCCCTGAGAGGCTGAGCCAGCTGCTCACTCCCTCTGTACAGCGCAGCGCTCTGAGGGGGCAAGAACAGGGAGTGGTAACTGACAGTCACCACTCTCTGCTCAGAGTAGCTGTGAAAACTCTGCAATCAGCGGTCATGTGATTGCTGAGTTCTCACCATTAGAGCCAGCAAGGGAATGATGCTGTATTCACCTAGGCAAGTATGATTAAAAAAACAAAACAAAAACTAGTTCCCATACCTTTTTAACCTACTTTAAATACATATGTGAACTATTTACTTGCCAAAGCAGGATTGTCCGACTGTTGTGTTTGGGGCACGTGCAGCCTTTCTGTTTGCTCTTTGTGGGCCTCATTGGTTTAGGATTACAAATTGAGGCCCCAGCTGTTCTCCATTTGATAAAGGCTTAATATCCTTTATGTAATTTTAGTAGCTCAGTACTTTAGTAAATGTTCTATGGCTCCTTACTCTGGGATAAAATGTTGGTTGCACTATTTTACGATGTGGTGGAATAACAATAATAATAAGTGCTATGTTCTTTCTGAAATTTATGTAGCTGTGGCCCTTTGGAGTTTCCACTGAGTTTGGCCCACTGTTTCATTTAAATCTCGTTCTCAGGATCACCATAATGCAATAGGAAATATGTAACCGGATCTTCCTTTCTCGATGCATAATAAAAACACCCAGACATTTCACACCAGTGCATTGATCTACATTCTAGTGCAGATGTAAAACGTAGATCAACAGGATATCTGAAATACAATTTCCAATGTGTCCTATTCACCCCATAACGCTGTGCATGTACATCAACGGACATCCAAATGTATGTCGGCGGACGTTAAAACGTGACTAAAATGGATGGATATGTGCATGCATTTTCCATACATTTTAGTGCAAGCCAGTGTGAATTGGCCCTTAGTTTTTCTGAAAAAATTGATTTTAGTAGACCTAGCATAAATGTTCCTCAGTCCTTTCAGATTCACCTGGACGGAGGTACCTAGTTTCATATTGCCACAGTTCTAGGCATGACTGCCAAAACTACAGTACATGTCCCATGGATCATAGGAAATGTAGTTTTAGCTATGGATGGTACAGCAAATTGTTTTTCTATGATCGCCCACTGCAATAAGTCACGTGAGGTGGGTGGAGTTGGATATTGGTGTGATGGGCACGGCTGGGCAGAGATAAGTGGGTACAGGAAACGTCCCTGCTTCTCTCACTGCACAATCAGTAACATGAGATTGACTGACAGAACTAAACAGTGGTGTGGGCTTGGTGGAGACAAGCGGGTTCAGGAAATTCCCTTCTCTATGCCCAGTGTGCAGTGGGTCAAGGCAGTGAGGTGGGCAAAGCTGGGCAGTGTCATGTGGGGCGGAGTTAGGTGGGGGAAAAAAACATTTCTAATCTTAACCTAATTCACACGTAAGAGTGAATCATGCTCAGGAAATGCAGGTAAAAGAAGTATGGACTTATTTTTTTGCTTCCCCCCCCCCCCCCCAATTATTTTAAACTTACCTAGGTGGATGCAGCACCGATCTGATTTATGCATCTGTCCCCCCGCCGGCTCAGAGTTCGAACTGGGCGATCACATGATTGCTGAGTCCTCACAGCTGCTCTGAGTTGTCTGCTCTGTCCCTCACTGGAGCGCTGGGCTGTGGAAGGGGAGGGAGCGGCTGGCTCAAATTCGTTGAGAGGCCGCTCCAGACTCTGAAGTGGATCCCGACTTCGAAGTCGGGTTCTTTCCTCAGCCTGGACCGGCTGAGTAAAGTCAACTGTCAGCAGGCTTCAGCCCGCTGTCAGCTGAAAACGGGTCACAGGAGTGCAGAAAGAACTCCAAGCCTGTGATCCACTGAAAGTTGACTTCAGACATAGGACCAAGGAATAAGAGAATGCTTTGAGAACACTGGGGGAAACGTTTAATATATTACCTACAAGCATTCTGAAATTCATTGTTGCCTAGTGTGGTGCTTTAAACTTGGCATGCCTAGGCCAGAGAATTTTGCAGTTCTTTAAAGCCAGTCTTTTTGTGCCTTGCACTGCACTCCCATCTTCCTGGTTTACAGCTTCTTGTTGTACTTTTCCATCTCCTGCTTTTTTTTGTTGAGTTATGATTTAGTATCACACTACAGTTGCATTTTTTTTTTTTTTTCTTGCTGGCAGGTAATACAGGAAGCCATGACATGAACCAGGAATTATGGCTGTACGCTGCTTGGCTTTGCATTGTGTAAGATGTGTATAAATCACAAAACTGGCAGAATTAGAAATCCTTTACAAGAAAAAGAAAAATGTTATTTCAAATGTTTAGATGTTTGCTTGGAATTCCTTTTCAAAAAGTTCACGTCTGACTCGACTGCCACCGAGTGTTGCACCCCCTTTGGCTGCTCTCAGTCGGTCTCCCTGCCAGACACAATGGGACAGGGCACATCACCTTGTATAGACCTCTATTTGGAGTATTCATTTAGAAAAGCCAAGTGGTGCTGGACTCATTGGCAGTTTATGCTCAGGCATAATGCTAATAGTTACATATCTTTAGGGCTCGTTCACACCATGGTGCAGAGATGTCTGTGTTTTTTTCTGCACGTGTTTTGGAAGGGCACAACAAAATTGTTCTTTGTGCCCTGTTCACACCACCACACCGGTGTCATGTGCAGATTTTCTTCTGCGCAGGAATCTGCAGCGTGTATGAAACTCATTGAAGCACACACATAAATACAGATGTCTCTGAAAGTTAAATCTACATGTCTGTTTTCCATCAGTTTTTTTTTTGCACGTATGTTGTGAACGAGGCCTTAACAATTCCCGAGCAGAGAGCTGGCATTATTAGGCCTAACACCCAGATTGTGGAGATCTAGCCTTTTCCTTACCCGCTTTAAAAAGAATGTTTGTTTGAGAGAACTGTGCTTTGAGCTGAGCTTGCTGGCAATCTAACTGTGCACTCCGCTGTCATTAACAGATTGCAGAGTTCATTTTCATGGGGGGTGAAGGAGAGTCCCCTGGACATGAAATGCTGCTTTACAGATTGAGTGAATAGTAGGTTGTATAAACCTTCCTTCCTTTATTCGATATGTATAATTGGTTTGTATAGACACAAACACTGCAATGAATTGTTCTCCATCTAGGTTTAAAGATCACATTCAAGGTAATCTTCCTAGAGATTTCTTAACGTCTGACAAGTTTGTTGAGCTGCGGAAAGAGTTGGCTGAAAAATGAGCCAGCAATGTGGAGCAAAAATTGTCTATCCAACTGGCCTGGAGGAGATAACTGATCCAGCAAAGGTGAGCTCTGACATTTCACAGTATGTGACTTGTTGAAGGTGTGGTTCTGGTTGGGATTAAATGCTGGTGGGCTGAATTAGACATGCTTTAATGCACTCATCTGGTCATGTTAGATGTATAAATAACAGATCTGTTGGGTCAGAAAACTGATCATTTGTAGTGGAATTTTAAAGCCAAGATATTTTCCACTTTAAAGTGTTACTAAACCTACAACAGTAAAATCAGCCTGTATATGCAGTAAATCATGCTTGTTATACTCACTGGGGAACCTAAGGGGTTAATCGTCTGCATTGTGTAAAAAGGCTGTTTGATCATTTCTTCTTCTTCTCGTTGAAATGACCACCCGATGCAGACTGAATCCGTAGGCACATGCACAGATTGGCAGGTATTGGTAGGTGTTTTTTTTTTTTTTTTTCTTTTTGGGAGAGTATGTGATCGGCACAGGGCCAATCAGCACTGTCCAGACAAAGGGTCAGGACTTTCACATCCTCCTAGAGCAGAAAGAAAACTCCTACAAGCTTTAACCAGTGCTCTGCTGAAGTCACAAGACTGCTCTAACTGCTGATGAGAAAAGGTATTTAGTGGTTTATATTTACTAAAATTTACCTTTTACAACCACTTTAAGTTAAGATTTAATTTTACTTCCTGACCGCCCTTTAGCATAAATCAATTAGACTTAAGGAACTCCTACCTGGAAAGTGTATCCTAATAATGTTCTCTGTTTGGAGAAAGGACTGTGTTGGGTAAATTTTGCATTTTTTTACAAGGATTGTAATGTGGACAAAGTCTGTCTTTTAAAAGTCTACCCTGGAACCAAGCCAGGATTCAAGCTCCCCTATTGATCCGTTGCACCTAGAGTCAAACCCTGTTTTAAACCTAGTACACACGGGACAAATGTCCGACGGCATGGGCCACTACAATAGAAACCGGCCAACATTGAGCCTTTGTGTATGGCAGCCTGTCATACAGAAACTGACCATTTGGCTGGCTTCAGTCAAATGGGCATGACTGAAAAAGCTCTGCCGATCTGCTCTCAATCAGCGCTCTCAGCCATTGGCTGGAGTGTTCTGGTGGGAGAGCTGTCCCCCTGTCAGAACACAATAGCACAGCAGGGGAGGTCACTGTACTAACATTGGATACTTAGTACAGCAGCTGGGGGTATTTTTTTTTTTTTTTATGGGGATAAAAACTAGTAGTATGTACCAAGCTTAAATTTTGAATTCTGTGATATGTAGGTTTGAGCACATTGTCATGGCAATTGACTTCTAGGCCTGAGCACTGCATCGTGTGAGGAATGGAAACTGGCCACACACCAACATAGGCAGTAGCAAAAATTTTATTGCTCAGGATAAAATCAGAGAATTCTCTCAGACCTTCCTTACTTTGATGGATTTTACCTGAACAAGGCTTAATCAGCTGAGGCCAAGCAGGAGGAAGAAATATTTATGTAGCACTCAGTATGGTGGTCATGAAGGTACATGTACATAACAATTTACAGATAAGCATGTTTGTGTTAGAAACCGAATACAAATGTAATAAACTGTATTGGGTACCCAAGCTCTCACTTCACTGTTTTGGAGCTGTATGCCTGCGGATGTCTGCAGCCTGGAATCATGTAGTCCTCTGCTCCTGCAGTCTTTCATCATTTGAGTCCTCTTTAGCTCTTTTAGGTGTGGACTGTTACTCTTCCTTCTCAGCTGAGGTTTTTACTGCAGTTGTGCAGAGGCCACAAGTCCACTCCTGCACCTTCGTCTGTAGATTAAGAGTAACATGTCCCTGGTGACTTTTGAGCTATCGGCCACAAAGACTGTCTGGATTCTTAATTACTCCAGTCTGACTCTCTGGAGGTTGGAAACACCCTGACAAGCTGTTTGCTCCCCCCAAGCATTTATTTGCCTTGTATTCGTTTAGGGAGGATTTTTTTTTTTTTTTTTTCAAAAGTGGTTTATCCTCAATGTGTTTTCACCTTGCTTACCATTCCTGTGAATAATGTGTCTTTAGGGGCCCAACCAATAACCTTTTGGAAACCCAACCCTCTCTAGAACTCTGTTCACTGGCAAGTGCTGTCCTTCACCCCCAAATGGGTCTTCTGTCAGTTCACATGTGTAGGTTGCTTTTGATTAAAGTGCTGGAATGCGGAAGCCTGATCTGCATGTCCTTTAGTAGACAATGTCTTTTCAATGTCGGTCTCTGCACACATTAGCAAATCTCCATCTAGCACACTCAGGCTTTCTGAATCAAGGTGTTGTTCCCCATTTCCTGTGGCATAATGCTTTCAAGGATTTTACTGCCTCTTTTTCACTAGATATCTTGCCCAATTTTGTATCCCAAAGCTCTGAATATTTTCATCTGAACCCAAAAAATTTGCTTGAATTCAACCAGGTCTGTCATCACTTCTCTTCACCAGGGAGACTTTCTGGATTATGTGGACATCCGTATTTCCTGCATTTTGCTGTGGCTTCCCTACACTTAGTTTGTGGCTCTCCCTTCAGCCTCATCCCTGCATCTTGAGTGTTTTACCCCAGTATTAGCCATGTTGCACTCTCTTGGCATCCCCGTTGTCGGATATTTAGATGACCACCTGTTGAGGGAACAGTGTCTTTTTGACAACATGACTGACGGTCCAGACATTAGAGTGGTTTGAGTAGATCATGAACCTAAAGAAATAATCACTGGAACCAGGTCATTGCTTGGAGTATCTGGGTCTAGTCCTTCAGGCTTTTCAATCTGTTTCAAGCTCTACAAATCCAGTAGTCACATCCAATTCTTTACTTTTGCATGATTGTCGAGCCTGATGGTAGGCATTCCTATTTGCCCAGTTTTCACTTCAGACTTCTAAAAAAAAAAAAAAAAAAAAAAAAAAAAAATATCTTTGTGGGACAGACAAATATGTTTTCCACAGAGGACTAGGTTTACCTTGCTTGTTGGTTCAGGAATCTTTCTCTAAAATTGGAAATATTCCTTATTTTTTTGGAGGATCATTGCAGCAAATGCAGGCCTGTTTAGGCTTGTGAGAAGTCCTGTGCACCCTGTCTGTATAGGGAACGTGGTCATCAAGAGGAGTTTTATCTGCCTATTAGTATCCTGGGCGATTTACTTGTCTCTCTACAGTTACTCTATCCTACTTGAAGATAATTCCCTTGGACAATGTTACAGCAGTAGCCTACATTAACCATCAGGGAAGAACCAGAAGTCTGCTTAACAGCAGGAGAGCTAGATCGGATTCTGGCCTGGGCAGAACTCTACATTCCAACAGGCAGACCTACTCTGCTTTCAACCTCTATATATGGGAGACTGGTCCCTAAACCTGGAGGTGTACCAGGACCTGTGTTGCAGGGGTTGGGCAGTGGATGTGGATTTTCTGGCCTCCAGGTTTAATAACTTGGATAGGCTTTTCTTCAGATACAGGGAACCTGGTGTGGAGGCAGTTGATGTTCTTGTGATTCCGAGATCAATGCACACTGATTTATTCCTTTCCTCCACTCAAATTTCTTCCTAATCTGCTTTACAGAATTGAAGTGGCTGGCATCTTGGACTGATTCAGGCAGATGCTCAGTGAGCTCTGCTGGATTGGATAGTTTGGCCACCCTCTTACAGTCACTGGCTCTAAAGGCATGGCTGTTAAAGCCAGGTTTTCAGAGTTGGATGTCTCTGAATCTTTGATTCTTGTTATATTGAAAGCTAAGAAGGCTTCTGCCCGTAAGGTCCATACTCACACATGGAAGGCATATATTACTTGGTGTGAGTCCTGAGGCATTCTACACTAGGAGCTTCTCTGTGGGACAAATCCTCTTATTCCTGCAGAGTCTAGACCAGCTTTTGGTTCTCAGCTTCTTGGCACTGTCATGGTTTAGGTTTCAGAGACTGCTGGTTTTTCTTATTCCATGATTAAACCTCTGTACAAGGAACCTCTCATGTAGCTCCCCGGTGACTCCATGGGATCTGAATCTGGTTCTCTCTGCACTTCAGAAACTGGTTCAACCCATTACAGACATTCCTCTCTGCTCTCACCCACAAGGTGGTAGTCCTTGTAGCCATCACTTTTGCAGTGATCCTAAATGGTGGTCTCAGCCTTTTAAGAAAGCTTTGTTGGTTTTGCGTAAGGAAAAGGGGTGTTTTAAAATGGTTTTGACAGTTTGCTACCCTTTTTAACAAAGCCTAACCCCCTCCGCATTGTTATGGCCATAATGTGCTAGTATGCCCCGCATACTAACACAATATGGCAGAATTGCCTTTTAAACAGAGCCCTTCAGTGCTGCTCTGTCACCTCTCCTGCTGCTTTCATCTTTGCCTTGTCTTCCATTCAGGGTTCCATCTGTTCAGTTTCTTGAATGACTTGGCTGCAATGACATCACTCCTGTGCATGCACATGGGTCACATCACCATAGCACACAGTGGGTGCCATAAATGTGGTCTCAACTGAACATGTGTAGTTCAGAGCGTATTACTGCTGACTGGTAAGGAGTCGTTTATCATCAGAGACCACTAGGAACTCTATGAATAAAAACCCTACCTGCCAGCAGTTTTTAAACCTTTGCATTCAGTAACATTTAAGGCACAGTACTTTTATTTTTTGTTTGGTAGTTTCTGACTTTTAACTCAGCCATCTTCTGTCTCCTTGTCCGGCTCCAGTTCATAAAAAGGAAAATTTCCTGCATTGTCAAGATGTGTGTTGGGCTGTGAGAGTCTGTTTTAGCCAATGCTTCTTTCAGAAAAACGTATTCCTTTCTGGTCATTCAGGATGGTGTTTGTAATGTGCACAGGCTTCTCTCTCTACAATCTCTAGGTGGTCACAGACCCATCATCCAAGCTTTATGGTATCAAGGAATCGGGGACCATCATTTCCTTTCAGGGTGTACTATATTAGATCTTTGAGTGCTTTTTAGGATTTTCAATATCAAGGAATGTCCTATGTTCGTAAGTGTGCCACCCGGTCTTCTATGCAAACGTGTACAGTAAGTTTTTAGGTGACTATTTCAGCCGCCTCTGATAAGGTTCTTCAGGTAGTCTGCAGTTTTTTGTGGTTTCCTGAGTCTTAGTTGTGTTTTCTCTGCTGCTCAATTTCTAGTTAAATTGCTTTTGTCCTTTCCAAAGGCAAGGTATACTGTGTCCCTAAGTGGATGGGAAAATTAATCTTTTTACTCACCGTAAAATTATTTTCTTGGGAGGGGATAACACAGGTCCCACCTCTCTGCATTTATGACCATGCTCTGTGCTGCTGCGGGTAGAGAGGATTGTCCATGGGCTGGCCTGCAGCTTTTTTGCTTGCCAATGTCCAATCCTCCTATAGGTAGAAGTAGAAGACCTTCCTGTGTTCCTCAGTGGACTTCAAGAAAATAATTTTACAGTGAGTGCAAAACTGCTATTAAACTGGACGCTGCCTTTTCAAAGCATTATGCCGCATTAGACAGAATACTAAACTTATATTAGCCCCCAGAAGTCTCAGAATTAAACTCATCAATAGAAAGCTCATAGAGGTTTCCTACCTGCTTGGTTTCTGTGTCCAGAACTGAAATGGTTTTTGTGTTCATTTTACTTTTAGGCCACTTAATTTTTTATTCCTTTTTTAAAGTGACACCTTTTTCACCTGCATTAAGATCTGTTTTAATTTCTTAGCGCACAACAGAAGTCGAAAACATGCGACACAGAATAATTGAGGTGCATCAAGAAATATTTAACCTCAATGAAAATGAAGTCCATAAGAGGTGGACCTTTGAGGAAGGCGTAAGTATCAATTTTTAGTACATTTTTGTTCAAGAATGAGCTTTTTGAGTACGTAAAGGGGCCAGTTCACACCAGTGCATTTTCGTGTAGCTGTAAAACGCAGATCAACAGAAGGACATTTGCAATTATTTCCACTGTGTCCTATTCACATTATAACATTGCATTGTGTTGCGATAAAATGCAAAATGTATATTAAAGGACGTCCGTGTATGTCAGCACGCATTAAAACGCGACTAAAATGACTAAAATGGATGGAAATTTACATGCATTTTAGCGAAAGTCATTGTGAGGAAAAAAAGTTTCACTGAAAAGCAATGTTACAATGTGCTAGTATGCTAACACATTGTGAATCTTGCCTAAAAAGTTTACCTTTTTGCTAAAAAAAAAAGATAAATGCACAATTTTTGCAGGTAAAAAAAAGTGCATTTATTTTTTCGTTGCAGGAGCCTATAAACCATTGTATCAGTGCTCAGCAGATCACTGGTGCCATGCAGTTCTCCTGCAGGGATGTACAGGCAAGCAGATGTACTGATAGGAAAAATCAATGAACTACCACAGAGCTGTGGTAGTTGAGAACTACAAGCTGCTAAGGCCTGTGGATGAGTGATGCAGCCGGAGCTTTTTAAATTGACCGTTTGTGGGAGGAGGAGATCCTCTGCTAGCTGTCAAAGTGGGGGAAAGGGAGGGAGTGGGGGCTAGTCTATTCAAAACATGTTACATCCTGAATATGGTTTTAACATGTTATGAAACGTGAACTTATTTTTTTAAAACGAAGCCCTCCAGTGGTACGCTGTCACTGCTGACAGGGCTTCCCTCTTCACCCGGTCTTCATTCCAGGTCTGCGGACTCTGGCTGTCTGGCCAGGCTGTGATGTCACTCCTGCGCATGCGCGCAGGAGCCACAGCACAGAGCTCTGAAGGAACAGCACAGGTGTGCCATTCCTTCAGAGCGCATGCGCCGGTGATATCACTGGCTGCTACAACGGTAAATATCTAACCGTGCATGTTTAGGAAATATTTACAGTACCAACCAGGTTAGCCTGATTTATAGGCTCACCTGTAGGTAAAATATATAAGACTTTACTACCACTTTAATGTTGGAGCTCTGTATAAAGGGGTGTCTGGGGTGTTGCAGTAGCTCACGTTTACGTGCAGGGTAAAAAAAACAAACAAAAACATAAAGGTCTTTTGCTCGGTCATCCAGGGTTTGAAATGATATTTTCTGTAATTAAGATCTTCTCTGAGCAATTCTCAAAGCCTATTTTTGGTTAGTCTTTTTTTGTTTTTTGTTTGTTTTTTGTTTTCTGCAGCTTTTAGTGATAGTGTTGTGTAGTTCCATCAATATACTATCCGTAGTTTTTGTATGTGTTCCTGGAACAGGGAGGGTTCTTAGTATCCAAAAACTGCTGGATGTCTTTAAACTTGTTCTAGAGACTGCTGATGTGAAAGTTGCTCTACTGTTCCCACAAATGAGAATTTTTTTTTTTTTTTTTTTTTTTTAACACATGAAAGTAGTTTTAGCGGAGTTCTTTGAGCCCTGTGTGATTACAGAAATCTGTTATATGGCCAGTCTGGTGCAGATGTTCTAAAATGTTGAGTTTTAAGACATGTGCAGACAGTCTTGGTATAAATAGACCTTATGCCTATTTGCAGGTACTTAATAGAAACTGGTTATAATCCATCAAATTTTGCTCAGATTTGAGCAGAGTGCATTCTGATTGGATGCTAAAGCCTGCTGCATTAGGAAATTTGAACTCTTATCACCTAAGATGGAGACTTCTAACATGTCGCGTTGAACATGTCATGTATGTTGTTCCTGCCATCCTCAACAGTTGTTAAAGTAAATCAAAGTCACAGAAATGGCTATGCAGTCAGATAAACATTTGTACTAATGTTTTATAGTTTTACCACCTCTTTCCTCTTACAGTAATTGTGTGGTTTAACTATGATGGTGCAGTGTACTAGGCACCAGAATGACTTGGTGCACTCTATAAACCCGCATGCACACGCAGGCAGAACATATTCCTGGTGATTTTTTTTTTTTTTTTCTTCAGATGCTTTTTACGTGCATTGTACAAGTGCTTTTGCATGTGTATCAAGCTTCAGGCATTTCCTGGACTTGACAAGGGGAGGAGAGCAGTTCTAGAGGAGGAGAGTAGAGCAGGCATAAAAACGTGTGGAAATGTGCGTATTGCATGTTTACAGGGGCACCCATTGAAACATATGGGGCCAAAAACATCTAAATATGCTTAAAAAAAAAAAAAAAAAAAAGGGGGGGGACACTTAGAATGGGATTCTGCATGTTGTGCATAGTCTGGAACGCTCTACCCCAATTTATCAGACTATCATCTACTCTGCTCACTTTTAGGCGATCTCTCTTCAGGGAAGCCTATCCTGCCCTCCGCTAATAATGGAATCTTCTACTCTTCCCACCAGTCCATCCCCCACAGTTATTACCTTTTTTGTACCACTAGCCCCTCCCTTCTAGATTGTAAGCTCCAAGGAGCCAGGGCCCTCCTAACCCTCTTGTGTTGAACTGTATTGTTGCTGTATTGTCTCCCATTATATTGTAAAGCGCTGAGCAAACTGTTGGTGCTATATAAATCCTGTATAATAATAATAGTCAGGCATAGGGACACAAGCAGAAAACCGATTAAGTGTGAATTGGTGTTTAATTAGAGACCTGGACAGACATGCCCCGCTCCTTCTCTGCAAGTCTGTGTGGAAACTTGTGCTGAGGGGTGTTACTGTTACTCAGCTCTGCCAGCACAGTGTACTGTGGTGTGTGAGGTGGATGCAACATTGTACTGAGAGAGGTTTTAAAGTATTTCTAAGCAAAAGTCTGCCAGCAATAACGTACAAAAATATAAAGGTGGTTGGGGAAGTTCTTAGTGTACTTTTAAAGCCTCTCATACGGAATATGCCCTTACTGATATAGTTGAGTTGTCATTTTAATTTTCCTACACATGTCTTCTATAATCTTCGATTCTTCTGTGTTTGCCACAGCTTTCCTCTTTGTACCTCAATGTCATGGCAGAGTTCAAGAGTTCTTTGCCCTGAAATTTGATTGGAACAAGTGTAGGAGTGGGGCAGTCAGTAGGATCTCCAGACTGTACATCTTTCTACCTGTTTTTTTCCTTTTTGTCATACATAACTTTTTGTTTTTTTTAGATTAAACGTCCCTACTTTCATGTGAAAGCTTTAGAGAAAATTCAGCTGCATAACTGGAAAGAATATTTGGATATTGAGATGGAGAATGGGTGTCACGAGCGTGTGGTGATTCTGTTTGAGAGATGTGTCATTGCCTGCGCCCTCTATGAGGAGTTTTGGATCAAGGTAAACCCCCCTGCAACCCTCTCCTCTGTTATATCCTCCCAATTATGACACATTGAATTCGTGCCTAACCCTGTATTCTTTCTTTGAATTTTGTTCATCTATAACTGTATCTATTGCATTAGGGGGATGGTCTGCTTGCAACCAGATTTGACCGCTACCTATGCCAACAGCGTTGCCTCCCTTCGCCCTTCCTTACAGAGTCTAGTCTAGTGGTTCAATAAAGGTGCTGAATGGGTTTAAAACAAGAATTATATTGTTCACGTTTTACATTTTTATTGTTCTTGGTGAAATTAACAGTGGGTGTCCATCTTTTGTCTAGTACGCCAAGTACATGGAACGACATAGTGCCGAGGGGGCAAGACATGTCTACACCCGGGCCTGCACCATCCACCTACGAAAGAAGCCTTTAGCTCACTTACTGTGGGCTGCCTTTGAGGAGCAACAAGGTAAGATGCCAATAACAAAACAGATAAACAGCATATTGTTTGAAAGTTGCTCCTATGGGGACATCTCCTATGCACTCCCTGAAACATTATGGCCCCCAGCTAGTATGCATTCGGGATCATGGGATTCCTAGATGTTTTAGCAGCAAAGAGTTAAAGGAAAAAGTGCTGCTGAGTTGGGTTTCCTTGAACCACTTCAATACCAAACTATTTCTCTCCTTCCTTCCCAGGCCAATTTTCAGCTTTTGATGCTGTCGCACTTTGAATGACAATTACTGAAAATTTGCGTAAAAAAACCCACATTTTTCCTCGGTTCTGTTCTTTTTTGCAAATCTTTCTTTATAAATTTAGGCCCAAATGACTGTTACACTGATTTGGGTTACTTTCAAAGAAATGTATGATGTTTAGTCTTTAGGAAAGTTAGTCTATAAGCATATGTGTGTGTTTGAAAAATTATCAATGCTGATGGCCTAATTTCTTGAGGCCTGAAAATGGATAGGACAGCATAAATGGTCCCTTTTTGGAAATTAGACAGTCCAAGGTATTTAATAAGAGGCATGGTGAGTTGAAGAAATTCAAGTGATGTGTTTTGTTTTTTTTTTTTAACATACTGTCAACAATTCAGTACAGCATTGTCCTATAATTGTTGTAGCGGTGATCAGGGGCGCTGACTGATGGTATGTTTAAACCATTTTTTTTTTTTAACGTACTGTGACCAGAGCAATATTGTTACTATAGTAATGCTGCACTGCTCTGGGGAGGTAATCCTGATTTTAGGCATCCATTTTTTTCTGAATGAAATCCATTCAGTGTGTACGATTGTGATTGGCCACAGCTAAACACATGGTACAGATGGGCTGTGATTGTTCCTGTCTGCACCATGTGATCAGTAACCAATCGGAGATCAACACAATACTATACAATGAATGGAAGCCATGAATTGTGTACAATTGTCCTGCGATTGGCAGTGGCCCGGTGCACTGATCTGTCATCTGCTGTGTCTGGCGGACACAATGTTTGATCGGACTGCAGCGCGGCCCAGTCCTCAGAGGTCATATGATGTCTGCCCAGAACAGGAGAGCTTCCTCCCCCGCTGTCTTTTTACAATAAGCTGGTCGGGACACCATTAAAGTAAGTCTAATCTTAGGACACAAAAACATGTATTGCAGCTTATTGGTGCTTAGATGTGGTGGCTACTTTAGCTGTGCTTTTTCAATTTCTTTTCTTTTTACCCAGTAACATACTTTCTGCTCACTGTACTGTTTCTATATAGTTACATCATTCCTAATGCAACTCTAAACGGTGAGCACATGCAGAGAACGCAAGATTTTACCTCAAATTATTTTCTAGGGGGATCAGCAGGTTTTCCTTTTTTTTTTTTTTTGTGCCTATTGAATAGATGTATTTATCACTATTGCTAGGTGGATTCATCCGATTATTTCTCAGGCCTAATGGTATCAAGGGCAAAGGTTCCTCCTTTCTTGGTCAAGACCCTTTCCTCCATGAGTGTCTGACTCCTGGGCTATTCGGCATTAAGCTTCCATCCAAGCTTGTAAGGTTGCTACCCAGTCTTCTCAAGTATATGTTCCTCACACCTCTGGAACCTCTGTTTTAAGCAAAAGGTCTCGCAGGTGGCTTTGCAGTAGGGTTTTCCCCTTTTATGGTACTGCTTTGCTACAAAAGTAAAGTACTTCATAGCTAACTTAACCAGAAAGAAGTCTAGAAAGCACCCCATGAAGAACCTAGTGCCTCAAGGTCTCTTCCAGGTTAGCAGCACAACGTCTCATTCAGTGGAGTAGAGATGTGGTTTAAAAGCTAGGCTAAAGACTATTGTGCTGATAGCTACCCACTGGAGGAGAAATCTCCAGCAGCGATGTAGAAAAGAGCCTTAATTTTAAGGGGAAAAAAATACAGGTTAGGTTCTACAATGGCAGCACAAAAAGAAAAGATGTCCATCCTTAGGGCACTAGCAAAAAAATGAGGAATGCTAGTGGTAAGAGGGTTTAAATCCTAGGCTGGCCTTCAGTTGTTAGCCAGTGTCCCAATCCTCCTGTAGGCAGCAGGATAAACCAACATTTAAGATTGGTGTCCCTCAAAGAACTTCAAGAAAAGGATTTTCTGTGAGTATAAAATATTATTGGTGTTAAGACTTTCTGAATTTTTTCACATTCCCTGTGTAAGTTAATTGAATCAGTAATTAGCAGGTTTTACAGTGTCTTGAAAAAGTATTCATACCCCTTGAAATTGTCCACATTTTGTCATGTTACAACCAAAAACGTTAATATATTTAATTGGGATTTTATGTGATAGACCAATACAAAGTGGCACATAATTGTGAAGTGGAAGGAAAATGATAGTTTTCCACTTTTTTGACAAATATGTGAAAAGTGTGGCGTGCATTTGTATTCAGCCCCCCTGAGTCAATACATTGTAGGACCTCCTTTTGCTGCCATTACAGCTGCAAGTCTTTTTTGGGTATGTCCCTACCAGCTTTTGCACATCTAGAGAATGAAATGTTTGCCCATTCTTCTTTGAAAATTAGCTCAAGCTCTATCAGATTGGATGGAGAGTGTCTGTGAACAGCAATTTTCAAGGCTTGCCACAGATTCTCAATTGGATTTAGGTCTGGAATTTGACTAGGCCATTCTAACACATAAATATGCTTTGCTGTATTCTAATCCATTCCATTGTAGCTCTGGCTGGATGTTTTGGGTTGTTTGTCCTGTTGGAAGGTGAAACTCCACCACAGTCTCAAGTCTTTTGCAGACTCTTAACAGGTTTTCTTCTAAGATTGCCCTGTATTCATCTTCCCATCAACTGACCAGCTTCCCTGTCCCTGCTGAAGCATCTCCATGATGCTGCCACCACCATGTTTCACAGTGGGGATGGTGTGTTCAGGGTGATGTGCATTGTTAGTTTTCTGACACACAGCAATTTGCTTTTAGGCCTGAAAGTTCAATTTTGGTCTCATCTGACCAGAGCACTTTTTTCCGCATGTTTGCTGTGTCCCCTACATGGCTTCTCGCAAACTGCAAACGGGACTTCTTATGGCTTTCTTTCAACAATGACTTTCTTCTTGCCACTCTTCTATAAAGACCAGATTTGTGGAGTGCACGACTAATAGTTGTCCTGTGGACAGATTCTCCCACCTGAGCTGTGGATCTCTGCAGCTCCTCCAGAGTTACCATGAGCCTCTTGGCTGTTCACACTACATGTTTCAGTGTGCTTTTTTTTTTTTTTTTTTTTTTTCCTGCATCCAAAATGCACAGAAAGTAAGTTATATGGTTTTTCAATGTCCTAGTTCAGTGCTTGCAGTTCCAGTACGTTCGGTTGCAGGAAAAAAATTAGAACAGGCTGCATTTTTCCTGCACAGAACTGTACTGGAACATGGTGAAATGCATAAACGCACCACTCCAAAAACGCTACTTGAATGCACATGTCCCTATTTGAATTGCAAAGAGGGGAAAAAATGAACCAGAATGCATCAAAGTGTATGCAGAAACGCATCTGTAATACATCTGGACTGTTTCTATAGTGTGACTAATGCTCATTAGGGCAAGGCCCCCTAATGCTCTCATTGCTCGGCCTGTCAGATTAGGTGGGTGGCCATGTCTTGGTAGGTTTGCAGTTGTGCCATACTCCATTTTCGGATGATGCACTGAACAGCGAGATGTTCAAAGCTTGGGATATTTTTTTTAGAATATCCTGCTTTAAATTTCTCCACAGCTTTATCCCTGACCTGTCTGGTGTGTTCCTTGGCCTTCATGATGCTGTTTGTTTGCTAATGTTCTCTAACAAACCACTCAGGGCTTCACAGAACACCTGCGTGTAATCTCAGTATAAATACAGCTGGACAGGTAGGGATATCGGAGCAGAGAGGGCTGAATACAAATGCACGCCACAATTTTCAGATACTTATTTGTAAAAAATGTTGAAAACCATTTATCATTTTCCTTCCACTTCACAATTATGTGCCACTTTGTGTTGGTCTATCACATAAAATCCCAATAAAACACATTTACGTTTTTCGTTGTAACTTGGAAAATTTCAAGGGGTATAAATACTTTTTCAAGGCACTGTATAGGTTTTTAAATGGGCATGACCTAGGCCAGTGATGGTGAACCTATGGCACGCGTGCCAGAGCTGGCATGCAGAGCTATCTCAGTGGACACGCCAGTAAGATGAGCACACACGGACCGCGCACACTGACCGGCCATCCAGATCTCATCCACCCCGCACCCCCCATCGAACTACATCTCCCATGTCTCTGGGGCTAGGGTGGGCGTGGACAAGAGGAAGCGGCTCCCACACTGCTCTGGCGCCAGGGGTGACTTATCCGGGGATGTGCATGGATGAGAGGAAGCTGCTCCGGGGCCAGGGGCGACGTTCAGTGTGGATGGGAATGAGCTGCCGGGTTGGAAGCCACACCGACACTGCCAGAGGTGAGATTAACTGCTTCCAACTGTGCTATAGCTGAAAGATGGCTACAGCGCGGTTGTCTAGTTCTGGGATGGGCGTCCATGGACGTCCTCCCAGAACACACCCCCTGTGCGCCCCAGCTGAGCGCACCCAGCGCTGTTGGTGATAAGGTTGTGTTGCAGTTTGGGCACTCAAAGGTTCGCCATCACTGACCTAGGCCATAACAGGTTTATGTTGTCTGCACACCACTGACACACATGGTTTGGAGGTAAACGATAGCCCAAATGTTGCATAAATTCACACCATTTGCAGTTCAAGCTAAATTATTTTTTGTTAAAGGGTAGTTTATTGCAGGTTATACAAATTGAAATATCTTTTAGAAAATTATTTTTTGCCAGTTCTTCTCCTGTTGTGAAGAAACAAATTAAATTCTTATTGTTTCCTTTCTGAAACAGACTAAGCAAGGGGATCTTCAAGGAAATCTCATCACCACTTGAGCAGCTTGTGTTTAAAACAAGAGTAACTTTTTTCTCTCCCCTTTTAGTAGTTGCAACTTTTTGGTAGTTTTGGAAGCTTTTGATAACAAGAAATCACATATAACAGTCTAAAGAAAACTGTCCCTTGCTGTTAATTACTTTTATGAGATGACAATTAAAATTTCAATTTAAATACTAAAACATTTGAAAGGGATTTTCAATTAAAGTGGTAGTAAACTGCAGGAAAGGGAGAAAAAAAAAAAGCCCCCCTGCAAGGTATTGTCATAATGTGCTAGTATGCATCGCATACTAGCACATTATGTAAAACCTTTTAAAATAAGGCCTTCCAGTAGCACTCTCACCGCTGTAGAGACTTCCATCTTTTTCTTCCTTCTGGGTTTGCGAGTTCCGGCCATCGACAGGGCGGACTGTGACTTCATCACTCCCCGCGCATATTCGCAGGAGTCACAGCACACGGATCTGAAGGAATGTCACGGATATGCTGTTCCTTCAGAGCGCATGTGTGCCGGCTTACAAAATGAGAAAATATCTCCTAAGAGGTGCACGTTTAGGAGACATTCATTTTTAGCTTTTTTACAAGCTTTCCTGTAGGTAAAATTAAGAAACATGAGTCTATTACCACTTTAAAGAGTTTACATAGGTTCAGATTTTTGTTTTCTTTTAAAATAACATGTTATACTTACGTGCTCTGTATAGTAGTTTTGCACAGAGCAGCCTTTATCCTCTTTTCTGGTCCCCTGCTGATGCTCCTGTCCCTTCACCCTGATGAGTTCCTTCATAGCAAGCTGTTTGATCTAGGGGGGGGCACTCGTGTGCGCTAGTTTCTGAGCCGCCTCTGTGTCTGAGACAGCGCAGCTTGGCCCCGCTCCCTACTCCCTCACCGGCTGTGATTGATAGAAGCGGTAGCCAATGGCTCCTGCTGCTGTTTCAGTCAATGAGGAAGAAAGTCCGTAGAGTTTTCTTGTGCACATCACAGAATCAGGCTCAGGTAAGTGATGGGGCAGGGGACTACACCATAAAGGTTTTGTACCTTCATGCCTAGGTAAAATAAACCTTCAGCCTTTAGAACCACTTTACTTTCAGGTTTCAAACACGCTGATCAAAGCTAGGGAACAAATTAATTAAAACTGGGTGGCACATTTCTGTGTGCAATTTGCATAAAAGATTAAGCTTTGTAGCAAATGCTGAAGCAGAACTTTTAATTACAGCAGAATTACCCAGTGTAAAACCTTCACAGGCTCTCAGTTTCTTATCAGAATGCAACGGTTTTTGTAAGGTATGTCAAATGTACTCTGAGCAGATTTATTTTTGATGCAATGCTAAGTTCAGCTGTGATTTTGATTGTCCTTGATTTCCTAGGTAACATTGATGAAGCCAAGAATATTCTGAAAACATTAGAAGAGTCTGTAGAAGGTCTGGTAATGGTTCGACTGAGGCGAGTGAACCTTGAAAGGCGACAAGGAAACTTAATTGAAGCAGAAAATCTGTTGACAGAGGCCATGAGCAATGCTAAATCCACTGGAGAATTATCGTTTTATGCAATAAAGCTTTCCCGCCACTATTCCAAAATTCAGAAAAATATCGGGAAGGCAAAGAAGGTGTTGAGTGATGCCATTCAGAGAGATAAAGTGAGTTGAAACTGAAAGGTGTTCCGTTTAAATCAACGTTTTTTTTGAGTTGCTCAAAAGGTGTGCGACCGTTGTATTATGTGGAGATAACGGGGATGAGAGCGAGGATGGCACTCGCTTCTCTTGGTGTTCTCAGCTGTTAGGCTAACTAATATCTTGGAGATTTGGCCACTGGAACAGTTATCTGCAACAACTAAGGTCCGACAGGTATTACATGCTGCTTAAGGGAAAGGTGGAGGTGGCCAAATTTTATATGGAATTTAGCATCTTGCTACTTTTTGAAACAGGGAAATTGCTTCAATTAAAGACCTATTGAGAATGTACCAATATATTGTGGCACGCACATTGTGTTATTTTACAGGTTAACGTGTATTGCAGTAAGGTAGCCCATTTGTTTTTAATGAAGAGAGACAGCAGCGACACTTAAGTGTAGATGGTAAAAATCAGGCAGATTTAATGGTAAAATTGCACTCACATAGGTGACAGGTAGGCATATCAAGTGATAGAGGTCCAGTGGGAGCATCCGGTCCTTTGGCTGCGCTCTGGGTGTATTCCCACTGCTCCGGTGTTGTCCAGGGTTCGGGGAGTAGCAGAGGGGCGCAGGGAGGCTCACAGGGATGTCACTGCATGGACCGGGTTTTCAAGATGGCGCGCGTTCGGAACATGCTCACTCCTTCGGCCTGATGGAGTGAGCATGCTCCGAACGAGCGCCATCTTGAAAACCCGGTCCATGTGGTGACATCCCTGCGCACCTCCCTTGCGTTGCATGACCACGCAATTCTCAATTAAAGTAATGCAGTGCCGTAATGCAAAAAATGGCCTGGTCAAGAAGGGGGGAATCCTTTGGAGGGCAAGTCGTCAATGTGCATCCTAATGCAATAATAATTAAATTGCAGCTTGGCAGTCCTTAGATGTTGTGGTGGCTGCAGTTTTTTTTTTTTGTTCCCCTGGGTATCCTAAAAATTTCTTGCCCTAGGGTGTCAACACTAATGATACTATATCTTTTGAAGGAGAAATGTCACCCTAAGGCTGGCCATAGACTGGATTCGGACGATAAATGAAAAATCAGTCATTGCTGGCAACTATGCTGCCACCAATGTTTTTCATGGATTTTCCAGCATGACCGATAAAAGCAGACAAGATTTTTTTTTTTTTTTTTTTTTTTTTTTTTTGTGCGGCCAAACATTCGGCCAATAAACGACCAGTCTATGGCCTGCATAAGACTAGCAACACCTTGCTGTCTCTTCTACCTCATGACATACTGGGGAAGTGTTTTGCAGTGCACAGAGATAGCTGGTAACAATGCTAAATGATAACAGTCAGCAGAGAGCACAGCAAGTTATCAGCTCACAAGGTTACTGGCAGGATTACCAGGTGATTACATTGTACAGAAAACCATATCAAAAGGTCAAACTTTTCTTTCAATTTATTTGATTCCTGTATTTGTATACAGTTTGTGTTTTATTACCCTTTCTATTGATGTTCAAATCTAGTCATTTATCTGTTTGGATGTACTGTGAATTGGCATTGCTTGTGGTCCATTTTAGCGATATGCAGAAAAGGGTTAGAACAATGTTGTCACCTTAGGACAGGAAATGTCTGTAAATCCACGTTATTGTATGAGTGATTTCATTGAAGGCCAGCCATATAAATGTCATTAAACTGTTTTATATTTCAGGAGCATGTGCAGCAACGTATTTGATGTTAAATTAAGTTACAATATCTTTACTTTTCAATAAAAACAAAAAAAAATGGACAGCTGAATCACTGGTGAGGTTCCATAAGTGTAATTGGCAGATCATTGAATAGCTGCTTTCACTGGCACTGATGGGGTCAGCTGGTCTCTCATGATACAACATTCAGGCAATGATGATGACAAATAGACTTCTGTATGTCATTTCTGAAGACAACAGTCCCTCTAAACTGACGTTGCCTGTGGTTCTGTACTTATAAATCGTTTTTCTCTTGGAGACTGTGTCTCACCAAGTCTTTTTTTTATTGTCTGACCAGGAAAACACCAAGTTATACCTCAGTCTGATTGATTTGGAGTTCAATGGAGATGTAAAACAAAATGAAGCCAACATCTTGTCCCATTTTGACAAAGTTATTAGGAGCTCATTGCCAATAGCTACAAGAGTTCTATTTTCACAGAGGAAAGTGGAGTTCTTAGAAGACTTTGGATCTGATATCAACAAGTGAGTAAACATTATTATCTTGGTGCCTCTTGAATAGCAATATATAAATAATTCAATGATCATTTCATTGCTTGGTTTTTAGATTGCTGACCACCTACGACGAACATCAGAAACTTTTAAAGGAACAAGAAAATCTGAAGAGGAAATCTGAAAATGGGTATGATTTATGGCTTGTCATGCACACCTTGGGTGATTTTCAGTAATTTGAGCAAAAGAGACCTGAGTCCAGGGCAAACATTAGGGTTTTTGCTTTTTTTTTTTTTTTTTTTCTATTTTGTCATTCTGTAAAAATTACATAAAATCCTAAACACCCAAGTTTTAAAAACAGTGCCCCATTGGTTTTCCCCTCTCCTCTCTCCTAAACAGTAATATTTAACTGTTTGCTGCCACCACTGCTTTTGCGTGTTATTTAAAGGAATAAAAAATGAATGGCCTCGAAGTGTAGTTAAAACTCCAAAGCAGTATATTTTCTGAAACCAGACCTCCTGGAGAATAAAATTTTTTTTTTTTGGTCACAATATTGGTGCAATGGTTTATCCCCACACAATTGTTTAGCAAAAAAATATAATGGTAAGAAAAAGGAAGTTGCGTCGAGTAAATATCCAACACATGAAGTCTTAAAATTGCACTCATGAAAAGATTAACAGGCCAGCAGTTTAGAGAGAATCCTGAATTATGGCCTTAAAATTATTACTGACTTGGGCTTGTGCAGGACTGGGACGACAACCACAAGAAGGGGGGGGGGGATTAATTGCTTACATTTTTTTTTTTTCCCCTCAAATATTTTTCACTTAAAAATGATCCCTCCATTATACTTTTTTTTTTTTTTTTTTTTTTTCTTTTTCTACTCCCTAGGAGACCAAGTAAATATAGCACTTGGTCTTGTTCATATCTGTGGTCTTGTTCATATCTGTGGTCTTGTTCATATCTGTGGTCTTGTTCATATCTGTGTCTTCGTTTCATCACAGGATGGTCAGACAGGTCTCTCGTTTGACAAAGAAAAAACTGATCACCTGCCCAGGTCTATAACTGGCTTTTTAAACAGTGAACATGGGGGGCTGTCACTATGTGAAAAAATTCCAAAAAAGTAGAACTATCCAGTTCAACTTGCCAGCCTACCCCAATCTAATAGTGGCTATTATTGGCAAGGAACAAGGATATATACATCTTATCAACAAAGGGGGATAAGAAAAGCCAGTTCAAACTGTCAGCCAGTTAGCCAACTATCAAAAACTCTCGTTTGACAACACTGCTATGAAGGAGACTGATTTGTGATTGACAGCTCTGGTCTCCGGCAGCAAGGGACACTCCAGAGAAAAGTGCTGACTTTCACCAAAATGGATGCTTCAGTGTGATCAGCAATGTTTTGATCACTCATTCAGCTCTGTGTCATCCATCTGCCAGGCTGTTTCTGTGTAAATGCAGCTCAGAGAGAAACACAGCCACAGTGAATGATCTGACACTGTTATGAATAACCAGCAACTTTGTTGTTAATAGTTTTTTGGGGTTGTGACTCTGTAATGTATCTGCTTGTACACACATGGGGCAGATACCTTATACAACCTCAAAGCTCTAAATGATCTTTTACGATTCTGAACATGCAGCAACAAATCACTCAGCTCGAAGGAGAGCGGGCTCTGTGTTTTGACTGTACCTCCCCCAACAGGAACCCTTATGATTTGGGGCTCAGAAGGGGGTGGAGCTACAGCTGGCATAGGGAAATTTTTTTTAGGTGACAACTGGGACAAAGTACTATAGGCACGTTTTGTCCCCTCGGAAGTTAAGAACGGTTATTTTATTGCTGTCCCCAATGGCCACCTATGTGTGAGCATTTTTCCTTTGCCAGGTTCTTTTAAGACATCAGGGATCTGTCGAGTCTGCTTATCATATTTACAAACACTGTACCTGTGTGTCCTATCCCACCCACGCCTTGCTACCGATGCATGACATAACTTGGTCAGTAAAAGGGATATAAAGTATGCTAAAGGATTGTGTTTGGCGATTGCATAATTTTTTTCTTAAATCCGTTCCCGAGTGTCTCAGGATGCTTTGTTGAATGATCCATCATTATCTCTGTGACATCAGTATTGAAATCTTTGCACTTGTATTTTAAATAACTTCTTCCACTTGGCTCTGACTTTATGTAGGGGCTCATCTCAACTTTCATTTGTGTGTGTCTGTTAAATTACAAAATTTGTACAGGTTGAATCTAGACTCTTCCTGACAGGATACTTTTATGTTGGATCCTCACTACTGTTCTGAAAGGAAAAAAGCTAACAAAGTTCTTGTGTCCAGTAATAATCAGAACATCTATATTGATTGCATGTACTTTTAAGGAAAGTACTCCATACTGCCTAATTCTGAGCAGGAAAGGGGAATGGAAAAGTTTGACATAAAATGTAAGAGTATGCTGATATCCCTACTGTAGTTTTGTAACCTTTTCTTTAAGTCCTGCTGTATAGCTACTTGTCTGTTTATTATGTTTTAATCATGTCTATTGTTGAGACACTTAATCTTTGTTATCTTTTTCTTATAACATTTGCGATCTGCTGGAAATTGTGTTCCAGTGAACTTAGAAGTGGACTCTGTTCCAAAGACTGCAATTTTTTTGTCTGTCCAGTAAAGGGGGAAATAAAGTTGCTTGGTACTCTGTCAATATTAAAACTTATTTTTATGTATCCACAGGGAATCAGTTCTGATTACCACCCTATATGATTGCATTGCCTCAAGTATACTTTTTATGAAAAAAAACCCTAAAAAACTAACACTTTGACTTTACATCATGTGTGTGTTTTTTGTTTTTTTTATAGGTTGGAACAGCCAGATGCTAAGAGGTTACATACTGAAGATGCCGCAGTTGTGTCTGCTGCTCCAGTGGCTGCTGCAGCAACAGGAGCTGTGCCATCCGCCTATAACTATAACAACTGGTATCAGGTATGAGCCTTGGAGAGTATTTCGTGTTGTAGCACAAGCCTGTAGACTGGCTCAATGCAGATGCACTAGTACAATATGCATCCAAACCTTGATAGAATTTTGGTGGGTAAATTAATCCTGTTATGGGAGACATACATGGGCTGCCATTGCTGACATCCTTTTAAAAGTTCTGGTTGCTTGGCTGTGACTTCAGCGGTAACTCAAAATAAGTTTGCAGTAAAATAAAGTTGGAACTTCTGATCCACATGATTTTCTGGACTTGGGACTGACATTCTTAAAGCGGTACTAAAAGCAAAATGTAAAATCACACTTAAGCTGGCCATGCAATTTTCTTCAATTTTCTTTTAGATTGACTTTCAGCTGTGTAGTGCAAGGGCCTCCCTGATTTGTATACAAATTGAAAATGTTTAGGTTTGACCTCAATTATGGTTTTGGTAAATATAAAGGTAAAATGTACAAGAATTGTATAATGTATTGCCAGCCTTATGTTGCATTCTGTCTCTCTCATTAACAAAGCATTCTTTGTGTTTTGAGTACCCCGTTTTGTACATTTTATTTTATTTATTTTTTACTTCCTTGATCTTGCCGTTATTCTTCAACTTCCTTTAACTTAAAGCGTGCAACAAAAGTGGAAGGGTTGTGACTGCCCCTTTAACACAGCCAGGAGTGCCTACAATGGTCTGCTTTTATAAATGTATTTAAAACCTTTTCACTAAATTGAAGAAAATTTATTTCTGTAACTACTAAAAAGAAATTGTTAGCTGCAGTGACTATATTTTGTTAGATGGACTAGGAAATTTAGATGGACTTTACTTGAGTGACTAACTCTACCCTGTCCAGACAATGCTGCTGTCCAAGGTTGAGTCTGTTGCTCATTCAGAGATAAAGTGCCACCACCCTAAGACAAAAAGTGTGTTAATAGCTGGATCACCATCTGAAAATACAATGTAAGGGAAACGAAACCTAAAAAAAGTTAATGCAGCCACCACATTTTAAAGCGGAGTTTCACCCAAAAGTGGAAGCTCCACTTGTTTAGCTCTCTGCAAGCTGTCACAGCCTGGTGCCCACAGTTGAGATGCCGGCACCGTGGAGGAGAGAAGGGACGCCCCGGGTGAGAACATCGCTGGACCCTGGGTCAGGTAAGTGTGTGTTTAGTAAAATTCAGTAGCTGCAGTTTTTGTAGCTGCTGACTTAAAGTGAAGTTCCATCCAAAAGGGTAAGTTCCACTTTAATGCTTTGTCCCCTGCTCCCCATTGAGGATTGGCACCTTTTGGGTAGCGGGTACCCAAATTTGACAGGTACTCACCTGCTCCAACCGCTTAGGCGATCGGAAGTGGAAGTTGTCCTCCCCACTTCCCTGTAGTCTTCTGGGACACATGACAGGTCCGAGAAGACTACGAGGCCATTTACAAAGCGCAGCGCTTCTCACGCATGCACAGTGGGCACCTGGCTGTGACGCCGCAAGCTGTCACAGCCGGGTGCCCACACTAAAGATGCCGGCGCCAGGGAGAGAAGACAGCTGGTGAAACCAGCTGTGGTGAGGACACCGATGGACCGAGGGACAGGTAAGTGGCTGTATTTTTACAGTCAGCAGCTACAGCTTTTGTAGCTGCTGACTTTTTTTTTTTTTTCAGCTGGAACTCCGCTTTAAGGTTTGGTAAGCTGCCATATAGTTTAATTTTTGTTTTATGGTTTAGTATGGCTTTAAAACCAGATGATCCACTTACCAGGCAAGTAAGTAGCCCTTTCATGAGCCAAGCAGTGTCCACTTGCGTAAACTGTCATTTGTCTTGTGATTTCCCCTAGAAGCCTGACGTCTTTGTAACATTGGTTAGAAGGAATTCTGCTGAGAGATAAACAAAACTACAGGATACTGCTCAGCAAAAACAGACATTAGAAGCTGGGTGTGGGGCATTAGTGTAGGTAGGTTCATTCAACAGAGGTTAGGGGTGGTGGCTTAAAAGGACACTGTAATTTTATGATCTGGTTAATGACTGTAGTAGTAACTACTTGTGAATTCTACACATTGATAACAATGTTCTTGTCTTTTCTGTTTCTGCAGTACAACTACCAAGGTGCTGGTGCATGGAACTATGGACAGTATTACCATCCTCCGTCCACCTGATGACTTACCATTTCCTCTAAGAATCCTTTTCACAGCAGAAGTTGACCTAAGTTATAAAGTGTGCTAATTTTGTCTTTCACTTTGGGGGAAGGTTTATGGTACCTGAGAATATCCAGGTTTTGAGCACTGTTGGTGATCTCATTCTGTTTTTGAAGTTACGGAGAAAAAAAAAATTTCTCCCCCTAATAGCATTCTCTGTTCAATTTCCACTTGCTGGAAAATATTCAGTTCATAAAATCTGATTATTTTTTTTCTTTTCCTTTTTATCTTTATATTTTGTGTAAATTGGACTGAAACAACTTTGTTCTGGAAGAAGTCGATTTCGTTTAGAAGGCTTTCTACAAAGAAGTGTTTAAAGAAGGGACATCCCTGCACAATTGAAAGTTATTACTAACATTGTCTGGGGAAATTTTCCAGTTAAATGTTACATGTGCAGATTTTTGTTTTTTCTTTTTAGAAGCATCTGGATTTTTAGAAGCTTTTCTGTATTGCTATTCATCTGTATGTATCTTCTTTTTACCACAGTTGGTAATGTTTTGTTGTCAATAAACAGTTGGATAATACATCTATATTTTCTTTTGTTAGGTACAGTTAAAGGAAACACGAGCTAAAAGTAACAAAATAAAAATAAGGAGCCTATTAAAAGCCGAAGTAACAAAACCATCCATTTACTGTAAATTAAGAGATTTCCCACACAGTACTTATTCTGCCACTAAATGTTCTCAGACTGTTGGCCATCATTATTCAACTTCTGAGCCCAGATCATCCTGGATCCTCACCGACTTGTTCATGGTCAGTGAAAGGTGAATGGGCACAGTTATGAGCTCATCTGTCACTCTGTTTTCTCTTGCTATCCGCATGCTTCTTGTCAGCACTTGAACTACTTGGCTCATTGTACGTCTTCTTATCACACTGGGGCACAAAGGCTGTTGGGACTTGTAGTTTCCTATTCACAGAATTTTTTTTTTTAATTATGACCACTAGCTGGGGCAGTTTGTGGGTGCCGGTGTTACAGTAACATTACACCCTGAATATGTGGGTGTAACATGTTACGAAATGTGAACTTATCCTTTAACCCAACAGAGGCTAAGATGGCAGCTTCTTTGGTTGAAATGGATAGGAGGGTTTAGTTCTGCTTTAACATTCCAATATTTATTGTAAATAAAAGGTACTTACAAATATAACAGATGCAGCTTGTAAAGCAGCTTCTCTTGACAGAGCGGGCATGACATCACTGCTAGGCTCTGCTGATGTTTTGTCACAAGGGATTTCAATGCTATGTGCATTTTGCTGTGGGCATGCATTAACAATCTTTGGTCTGTCCACTGCTTGTTTGGTCTTCAAGGTGCTAGTCTTCATTACCACCATGTTTCACTCTCAGGGTGTCCCCATAGTGGGAGACGTGAATGACTTTCTTAGGAAAAAATTGACACTGGCTCCGTCAGCCAAAGTCCGTGCAGATCCTACAAAGATTTGGGTGGAACCTACATTTCCAGAAGTCCATGCTGAAATAGTCTCATCAATTATATCTGAGCCTTATCTTAGACATGGCACCTGCTGTGTCTGATGTTTGCACTCTGCAGCCCAGGAGCCATCCAACCCTCCGTTTCTGCATGCAAGTCTTGGTGGCCTCTTTCAAGTCTGTTCTATGTCTGATTTCACTCTGACCCCTTGCAAGTCTACCTTCTGGCAGTGTGCTACAAGAGGGTGCAGTCTGGATCATCCCAAAATCCTTCCTCTCAAAGGCACCTGAAGTTTCACCATTCTGGTTTGGGCTTCACATTCCAGCCCTTATTGCTATGCATATTTCAGGCATGGAAAATAGTCAGTGTCTGCACTGTGGAGAATAGTCTCTTCACCCTGAGATTATCCAAGACCTCTAGATTGGGGGGGGCTCTATTTTATTCTGTTTTATACTATCCAGCCCTGTTTGAGTCAGTATACCCTGGCTGTGTCTGAATTCCTGTGTTCCCCAATGGACATCAAGAAATTCTTGCTATGGTACGTACAAAAAAGATTTTTACAGAGTAAAATATTTTTTTTACTCTCTCATGCATTGTCAGGTGCAAACAGACCCCCATGTGGAAATAAGCACAGGACCAGGTGCTGTCTTAATATGAGGAACCAAGCTGTGGTGCTAGGGGAGGATACTCCTCACTAGTGAGGAACATCCTGCCAAGGAAAGAATGCTGATCTATAAGAACGCTGATCTACCTGATCAATTCATAAGTGCGGAATGAAAATGCAATCTCTACAACAGGGGTCTCCAAACTTTCCAAAAAAAAAAAAACCAGTGCACTGTCCTTTGTGGTTTTTTTTTTTTTTTTTTTTTTTTTTTTTTTTTACACTCCCACTGGCCATAGTCCAGCCCCCCTAAAGTTCAAAGCCCTGGCATTGGTGGGAGTAAACCATGCCATAGACTTGTTTATCAGTGGTAGTAAAATAAAAAAAAAAACAGACTTTCACTTCAGAAAGGAGAAAACACCTCTGAAACATGTCCTAGCAGCCATGTTCTGTGTATCTCTTCACCTCCTGCTAGAGGTTCCTTCCCCATCTGTGAGTGATGCAGGCCCTGCTTGCTGGGATGTGTTCTGGGTTTGCACAGCCTTGGGCTTGACAGCTTGCATGGCCCTCCTTCATGGACTGTGTGACCATGGACCAGGAGAGGCGGCTAGACTATTTTCATGTGTCCGCATTTAATCTTCCTCCAATAAACAATTTTACACTAAGGTGATCTGCTCCATTTTTTTTGCTTTTGTGTCAGAGAATGGAGAGAGTACCAAGGGTTGAGTCCCACTAAGTCAGGGGTGGGCAAAATTTTTGACTTGAGGGCCGCAATGGGTTCATATATTGGACCTGGGGGCCGGACCAAGAGTAGATGAATGATGTGTATGTGTCATCCATAGTAAGTATAGTAGTAATCCCCCATATAGTAATTCATCCCCCATATTAAGTCCCCAAGTCCCCCCTGTGTCAATTCACTTACCTTTGCTCCGCGCGTTCCTCTCGCCATGTTCCCGCGCCATTCCGGTGTAGCATGAAAATCTGTCTCCTATGAGGATATGTCCCCCTCGACGTATCTGCACATGTGCCAGTTTCAGGCATTAGCAGCCGATCGGCGATCTCCGGCACATGCGCAGATACGTCGAGGGGGACAGATCCTCATAGGAGACAGATTTTCATGCTACACCTGTCTTCAGGGCGGACTGTGAGAGGAGCCTAGCTCTGCGGGCCGGATTAAAAGGTCCGCCGGGCCGTAGTTTGCCCATAGCTGCACTAAGTCATGGACAAACGGTGAGGTATAATCTTAGATTGTAAGCTCTGTCAAGCCGGGCCTTCTGTGTTCCTCTTGTACCAAATTGTATTGTAACTTTAATGTCTGCCTTCATTTTGTAAAGCGCTGTGCAAACTGTTGGTGCTATATAAATCCTGTATAATAATAATACATGGGAACATTCTATACAATGATTAGGTAAGGGGTAGGAGGATGATCTTTTCACAAAAAAATTGCACGGAAGAATGGAAACTTGACAAAGGTGTACCAAGCACAGATCCCACCTACAGATGTGGAAAAATGTATTGGTATCTTTTACAAATCATTGAAACCATTTTTTCATTCCTCCTAAAAAGTGATGACATTAAAAAAGTGATAGTTTTCTACACCTGCATATTTTTGGTATGTCGGAGTGAAGGAATGATGGTGTGAAAAGAGAAATTGCTTATTTTACAAAGATTCCAAAATCGTGTGGATAGATTCATTGGTACCCCTGGAAAAGATTATAAATTGGATTACATTAACCACAAGCCTACAGGGCACTTATACCTCCTTCCTGCCCAGGCCAACTTCCAGCGCTGTCGCGCTTTGAATGACAATTGCGCGGTCATGCAACACTACCCATATGAAATTTTTTTTTTTTTTTTTTTTGTGTGACAGAGCTTTATTTTGGTGGTATTTAATCCCCTCTGGGTTTTTTTTATTTTTTCTTAAACAAAAACCACTGAAAATTTTGAAGTTTTTTTTTTTTTTTTTTCTCAGTTTTTGTTAGAAAATGTTGTAAATAAGTGATTTTTCTTCTTCACTGATGCGTGCTAATGAGGCTGCAGTGATGGGCATTGATAGGTGGCACTGCTGGGCATTGACCGGCATCATTGTGCACTGAAAGGCAGCACTGATACATGGTACTGATGGGCATTGACTGGCATCATTGATGGGTGACACTGAATGGCAGCTCAGATGGGCACTAATATGTGGCATTGATGTGCACTGACACAAGGCACTGATGGACACTGACAGGTGGCACTGCTGGGGCTACACTGATCATCAGGGTCCATGTCCCCTCTGCGGAAAGCCGATTACCGACTCTCCTCGAGCTGTCAGTGTGACAGCTCGAGAGGAGAGAAATGCTGTTTACATGTGATCAGCTGTGACTGGACACAGCTGATCACATGACCGAGCCGACATCTTCTGCTCTTTCCGTGATCGGTTATCCGCTGTGTCCAAGGGACACAGCGCACCGCCGATCGCTGTGTGCTCCCTGAGCTGCACATGCGTGGTCAGAACGGGAGGACGTCATATGACGTCGTCCTAGAACGAGTGAATCACCTTGTGCCTGTCATATTACTATATGATGGGTGGGAGGTGGTTAATATTCATGGGGGACACATGTACTAGAAAATAGTTGGGCCAGCTTGATGCAAATGAACAACTTAAAGTGAAATGTGGAGTTCAGCTTTAAGGTCCACAGGAGTGTAGTCACCCTCTGGAGGTGGCCGTAAGAGGGGAAAACTGACCCCAGAATACAACATAAGGATAGTGTGAATAGCAGACAGAGATCCAAGTTAAACATCCAAAGCAATACAGGTTGAACTCCAAGCTCAAGGTACATTAGTGCCTGATCCCATTGTCAGTAGCTTTTTGAGAGACTGTGGGCTCAAAGGAAGATGAGCCTGGAAGACTCCAATGCTGAAGGAAAAACATAAAAGCCAGACTGAAAATTGCT